TTGGATCATGCTAGCTAATTGTTTCTAACTGTACATTGTTCAGAGTCATATATACATTTGATTTAGTTGTATCAATCAATCTGAGGTATCGTGTTTTGTTCCAGTTTTATAGCCACATATCATTTCTTTCTGTGTGCATTTATTAACTTTTAGCAGTAAGATTTTCTTGATTTGGGGCAGAAGAAGGAAGGCCATATGTGGCTCCTTAGGGTCAGTTTTTGCTACCAAATTTCAGCAATGCAAACATTTAGTTTTTGCCTCCATAATTCCTAATGCTGCCTGTTAGCAATTGCTCTACAGCAATTATACAAATTATATTATGTAGCAATTATCTAAAACAGCAATAATCCCACACTTGAGTCTTTCTAGAGAAAGTCATAGCTACTTTTATATCTACCCTCACATTTTACAATATCCATCCACAGTTATCCCAACATTTTAGCAGTTATTAAATCAGCACATTAATATCTCAGTAGGCTGTTATATACTAATATAGGATTGTGTTTTATTTCTCAATTGAGTAACTCTTCAATTTTAGCTCATTTATACACTTTGGGTATCTGCTTTTTAGGGTGTTTTTTTTTTTAATTTGCTTTTTATTTTGTGCAATTGCTTAGTTTCCTTTTTGCATTACCGTTTGTTCTTGTTTCCATAAGTTTTTTTATGGAATTATTATTCAGATTTGGTCATTCCCTGTAATAAAGGCAAGACTTTTTTCTTTCTGACAGACAGTACTTACCTTTACAGGAAAGGATTAAAAAGAGAATACTTTTTAATCTTTTAAATTACAGTACTGGTTAAAATGGGCTAATGTAGCAAAAGATGACCAGGTTCATTCCGCACAACAGAGCATGCACACAATCAAATCACTCACCCATTTCTAGATCAAGATTCATAAAGGATATGTAGAACAGATCTACCTAAGCAAATACAATATTTGTATTTGGTCAAGACTCTTATGACCAAAGGCCTACAGCTGGCAGATGGAGTTGCCAGCATTGTGCTACAGAAAGCTAGAGAGCTTACTGAACATAAGCCACCTTTTCTCTACAGAAGAAAAGAAAGATATCCAAAGATTCAACAAGTGCTTCATTTCAACTAAGGCAAGTTTCTTGCCACATTTGGTAATTCAGTTTTTCCAGCCGGGGATCAAACCTTCACCGGGGAGAACTATAATGCATTTGAAGATCATCCCACTTCTCCTCCCAATACATTTTTCATCTCTCCTTCTAAAATTTTTTTTTTTAAAAACCACATTGTTTTGCACAAAATGTTTCCAAGTGGAAAAAGAAAGCTGAACAAAAGTGACAACATTTTTTGTCTCTAAATATTTTTATGGTTGAGCTTAACTCTTGAGGGAGGGGTATATATGTAAGTGGCAGTCCACCTGCAATCTGCATTCAAATCAAATCAAATCAAATAATACTGCTATACCCAATCAATCAATTGTTTTGGTGTATTGATTACATGTATATTGAAATCAGCATGTCTGTATTACAGGTTTGCAGCCCTGCCTGTTTTAAGTTAGCCTCTGCTGTATCTGGTACCATAATAAACCGTTTGTGCTTCAGTGAAAGCGTGTCTAATCCCCAATATTAACTCCTTGGAGAAATTTCTTCTATACTAATATGGGACTTACAACTAAAAGTGGTAACAATCCACCCAAGAAAGGGAATCAGAAAAGCCAGTCAGTATACGTAGAGAGGAATGAAGACAACCTTGATGGAAATGTGGAAGAACAGTTACCTAAGCAAAAGGAGCTGAAACATTTTTTGAGCAGAAATGAGATAACATTTGGAAGCATGGACACTGCCCTGATCCACTGGAGTATAAGAAAAGGGAGGACAATCAGATTTGCAATCAGATTTTCTGTTATTATAGCCAATCTCAATAAAAATAGTATTAGTCTTCATCTGGAGTTGATTTCCTGGTCTGGTCTTCCTAGTGGACTGACAGTACAAAAAGAAGTCCATAAAGGTTATTCCTGATTTTCTGAAATATTTGTATTCGTCTATCTGTGTTGTTCCTCAGTGATAACTCAGGAGTCTAATCATACTCTTTGCAAAAGCCATCTTCTGCACTCCTTTCACTCTTTTGGGAAGTTCCTTGTCTAGTTAGTAATGTGGCTGCCTTTCCACTTGCTTATTTAATGTGTCCATTTCCTAATCAACTTACTTTGAACTATTTTCCTGGGAGGTGCTGCTTTTGAACGGGACTTCCTTCTGAGTGGATCATTCGGTATCCCACCTCTGACCATCAGCTTCCTGACCTAGACAGAGGTGACTGGGGCTTCTTTTTACAGAAGATGTGCTGGAATGGAATTCCCACGGATGGATCTGTGACATCACAGCTAAAGAGACCAGTCAGAATCAAAGCACATTCTCTCTGGTAGTTCACCTCTTCCCAAGTCCCATGGATGCTAGGAAGTACCCAGGCACAGAGGTGAGCTCATTCTCCTCCCCGCAATTTCTAATGGCAACCCCTCTGCTTCTGTCTCAGCCCCAGACTATCATCCTGACCCACAACTGGTATTTTGCCTTCTTTTCCTCTCCTTGGTCCAAATTCCTAGGCATTCACCCTGAAGTTTATTTAATACCAATAACTCTCCTTCTCGTCCTTTTGCCACTTTGCCTTCTGTATATTGAAGACGGTTTTTCTTTACTTGCATGTTTATGGGAGTAAAATAGGCATTCTAAGACGTTTTTCTGACTCGGTAGAGAACCATGTGCAGGCAACTCTTCTGGATGGTTATATAAAATATTAGGGAGAGACACAATGATTTCTTGGAATCAGTAATCTTGTATCTGTATCTGTGTGGGTAATTTCCTGATCAGAAAGCTGGATTTCTTTTATAAAGCTCACAACCAAGGAAATCTCAGGAAAGCCATTTAATGATTGGTTTAAATTCAGCCTGCATATTAGGAGAACTTCAATTCAGAACCACTTCTTTACCATTTTTTTCATGTTTAAGATAACTTAGATTTTAATAACACCAAGGTGACGTATTATTTGAATCTTTTCACAGACCCCAAGAGCTTTCAAAAAATAGGTATGTTGAAATACCATCCACATTTTGTGAGAGCTGGATTTAGCTTTAGCTGTCTTTTATTCCTTTGGTGCTAATAGCATTTCTTCCCAACATACTACTTATTTGTCCAGAATATTCATAGTGTGCCCAATAAAGAGCATAAATACTATAAACATACCCAATATTAAAATCTCATGATAAATCCTCATTTAATTCATGAAAACAAAAATTAAATATCTATTTCCTCCCAATATGCAGTTGATCTAATATGCACATTATATAAATGCAAGATTTTCTCACGGATGGGTTAAGCAGCACCTCCTTTTAAGGGCTGGACTTGTACCATGTCAGACAATTCGCTTAATATAAGTTGGTGGTTATAAAGTTGTTTAAAAGTCTTACAGTGGGAGATTAATGAGAGTTGGTCTACTTGATAACTCAGTAGAAGGACATGGGGATGAGTCTGGATCACCAGTAACTCAGAGGCAAAGCAGAAGCTTTGGATGTCCCAATTCAATTACCAGCATTTCCAGGTGAGGCTGTAGAAACTTCAGCCTGGAATCCCTTAGGAATCCCTCTCTCTCATTATTGATTAAGCTGCACAATACCAAAAAGGGATTTGAGAACCCTGCTTTCTGTGTTTTTATGGATCATTGGTTTGCATAAATTATAGATGTGACTCTACAAAGATGGTCTTTAAGAGCCTTTAATTTAAGACTCCAGAAATACAGGCTTTTGGCTGCTTTCAGAACTTTCTCTGGTTATAAGCAGATTTCAGTCTGTTCGTTCGTTTGTTCATTCATTCATTCAATTTCTATTTCCACCTGTCTCACATATGTGACTCTGGGCGCTCACACAATTGTTTCCTACTGTTATGAGGCAGAAAATACAGGAAATTGTTGTGTGAGCCTAAGTTACACTTAAAAAACAAAGAAAACTCCCACTGCCCGAAAACAGTCAAAAATAAAAGCCAACCTCAGCCATATATGGGACATAACACCACCATATTTGTACTATCATCCTGTCCCAGCCTTTCTGGGGGCTATAAGGGCAGCTCTTAGCCCCCACCCCACCTTTTGGGTGCACCATCATGCGACACACAAGGCACAGCTAAAATGGGTTTAAGGAGTTTCTAGTTCAGCCATTGCCTTAGCCTGTGGGTAAGCCAGGCCATAATATGGTTTGCTTGGGCAATATACATTATGTGAACAAACAGTTATGGGTTTGGAGTGAAGCATGTTGTCTGGACCTAGCCACCAAGGATGGCCCCTAGCTATCAAAACACGCAGCCCTGCTTTAACATTTCAGACTGACGGAGCATTGTGTGTGTGTGTGTGTGTGTGTGTGCATGCGTGAGTGTGTATGTCTCTTGTGGGTGTGAAAGAAAGAGAAGATGGATTGCTTTTTTTACAAACAATTTGCAATGCCCTCTGTCATACTAATATTTGATGATATAATTATGAGTAATAACCATTCATAACTTGATCTTCCTATGCCTTTTTCTAATTCCCATTTTAAAGCCATCCAAGCTAATGGTCATTACATCCGCAAACTGGTTATACACCAGATGAAAAAAAAGTGGAGGTGAACCTTAAACCAAGGGCCTCCCTTCATAATGCCATCTCTTTATCCATTATGCTGTTTCCAGCCTCTCCTCTTTCCTCATCTTCTACTTCATGCTTCCAACCACCAGAATTCTTACAGATTACTCCTCACTAAGAAAGGTATGACTCTGAACAAATGCATATTGTTGTCAATCCAGATTCTTAATATTTTTTCTGCTATCATTTAGGAGGCTCAATTACCCTCTTGTGAAACCAGACGCCATTAGCTTGACCAAGATCACAGCTTGCTGTACAAAAAAACCCCCATCTTCAAATGCATTCTTTCTTTTCCAGATTTTGAATATTTAATGCCATTGCATGGGAAGACATGTTTGGTGCTGCTTCCATAAAACTTGGTCTTTCCTCGTATGGGTGCCTGCATCCCCAAACACATACCTCCAACACCACTGAGTACAGAAAGCTTACTGTCAGCACACAACAGTTTGGAGACTGGTAACCGGGAATCTAACGAGATGTTGAGGGCTTGCTTAAATCATGCTGTCCAAGAGTTCCATCGTGAGCCACAAAGTCTACGAGACAATGCCACCTTGACTATTCAGGTGAGAGGAAGAAAGAGAATGGAGTTTGTCTCTGGTGAAGGAGAAAACAAGATAGTGGTTTCTTGGTTAAAGGGAAAAACACACTACCATATTGAGATCTCTACCCTGGAAGTGTACCTGAATCGACTGTCCTTTTCTCCAGCTCCACTAACCTCTGAGAATTTGGAGAAGGTGAGGCAGGAGCTTGCTAGATGGGACAACATTACCAAGGAACTGCGGGCTTGCTTGGATATAGCTATAAGAGAGATTGAGAAGGAGCCTCCTTCTGTGAAGGGCAATGCTGAACTGACTGTTGAGTGTGGTATTTCCTGCTTGGATTTCATTTCTGGAAAGGGGAGGTCCCGTATCCACATCTTCTTTTCTGATAAACAACCTCACTATCAGGTTCGAGTTTCTTCTGTGGATGTCTATTTAGACAGGTTGAGCTGTCGCACAATGTTGCTCACCACAGAGAACTTGATGAAAGTATGGAAGGAAACAGAAGGCCTTAAAGGATGTACAGTAGACCTCCGAGCCTGCCTTAAGCGAGCTTTGCAGGAGTTTAATACCTTGTCCCCACGACATCGGGCTAATGCCACTGTCTTCATTGACTGTGATGGAAAGAACTTTAAGATGGTTTCTGGACATGGAGATAGCTGGATCTCTATCTTCAACGTTATTGGAGATCAACATTGCCACAGAGAAGTCGTTCTAGCATTGGGAGAGGTGGGGTCATCAAGCAAAATAACAGGGAAACATGGGAAAGAAGGACCATCATTTCGGATAAGAAAACCAGAAGCAAAGAGAAGTGCAGAGGAGGGGCCATCTAATCAGTCCTGGAGAACCTCTAACCAGCCCAAAGGGCTATCCATTAGGAAAAAATCTAAAAAAGGGCCATCCAATATGATTGAGTTAGAAGAATTTGCATCAAATGATAGAAAAGTAGAGGAAGAAACAATGCTATTTCAGGGAAGGACACTTTCCGATGGGAAAGAAACAGATACTGGACTCTCCAATAGTTCCGGGGCACTGGGAAAAGAACATTCTCTTACACCAAAGGTATTGTCATCTAGTACCCCAAACCCCCAGCCTGATGGAAAAGAAATGGATCTTGCTGGACCACTGAGTTTATATAGTGGGACAGCAACAGAAGCTGTACTGATCCATGGAAAGAATGAGGAAGCAGACAGTGAAGTGGGGGCATCTAATGACTCCAGTGAAGAAGAATCACCTAACGTTCTAGAGAAACCCTCAGATAGCAGACAGGGAGATGATGGACCAGAAAGATGATGCATCTAAAGGATTAATGAGCCAGGGTAATGCAGTAGCCAGTCCTTGGACCGGTAAGATGACGGATCCATTCTAGAGACAGGGTGCGGTTTCTGGATCTGGAAAAACAGAGGGCTGGTCCATCAAATGAATTGTGGAAGAATAACAACAAATAAATGATCTATGGACCTGAGATTCCTCACCTTTACAGCTTCTTTCTGTAGACTCTATTCCCACTAGTGCCAGTTCGTCCTCATACTGGTTCTGCTACCTCTGCATACTGTAGTAGGGATTTCCTAGTAGCTTATTTTCTGTTCCCATAACCTCCCACCAAAAGCTTATGTTTTTCTGTCTCCTTTATTTTCTGCTTTAGAATTTCTAAATCATTTAAGTGAGTTGAATTTGCAGCTCGTGTTCATGTTCCAAGGTGACTGAAAGCAGCAGAAATGCAAAAATAAAAAGCGTAGGAATATGATAGGAGTAGCAGTCACCTGGAAAATCACCCTGCTACCCAACCAAGTCAAGCATTCAGTGTAGCATCACTGCCTTCCCATTGGCCAAGATTAGACACTTCACGGCTGATGTTAATCTTGATACCAACAGTTCCTATTTTGAGAGACTAAATGCAAATGTAGAAAGATGCCTTGAGACCAGCATCTTCCATCCCTTTCATTTTTCCCATTACGTGAACCATAAGTGTGGCGGTGTTCGGACAAGTTAATGAATTAATTAATTAATTAATTAGAACTTCTTTAATACTGCTTTCTGTGTCCAAAATGTCTTAAAGTGGGGTCAAGGAGTAGTAGTTAAAGAACCATTAAAATTCAAAGCATCAAGTTCCATCCATAACATATTCAATGTAAATGCATATAAAAGAGATTTTTTTAAAAACGCACAGCACGTTATTCAGGTGAGTTTATTTGTGGTTAGGTCTGGTTTGCAAGTCAAACAATGCAGGAATTTATACCCAAGTTGAACTTAAAGGTGATAGATTCTCAGTCCAACGGTCAAGCAGAGAGAATGGTTCAGACAGGGAAGCCAGTGTTGAAAGAAGTTCTTCTAAATGGCCCTGTTGCTTCCCTTGAGGAATAATCCAGTGACACGACTCCCTTTGGCTCCCTCACAGCTGTTCTTTGGAAAGTTGTTGAGAACTTCTTCGGCTCCTGAGATTCCAAAGGGAGTACATTCTCACTTAGTTTGGCTGCGATGTCACCCAAAGCAGCAGTACAACAAAGATACAAATTGTCTCTTACCTTTGAGGTTGGGTCAATGAGTTAGACTCCAGATGGACAATGGATGGATTTCAGCTTCTGTTGCTCAAAAGATTGAGGAGCCTCAGTCTTGCATGGTGGAGACTCAGCAAGGCATGAGATACCAGAGGGACTGAAGAAGGCAAGGCAGAGATATAGCAGGGAGTCAGATTACAGAGGTGACTGCATCTCTGAAATTAGGACAGGAAGTCTAGAGGATTTGGACCAAGGTAATCTCATAAAGAAGGTAAACTTCAACCTCAGAGATCTCATCAAGTTCTATACAGAAAAGAAGTGGGTAACTAGTGATACCGCCTCCAAGGTTTCAGGATAATGAAATGTATAGTATAGTAAAAAAGTACTGTAATATATTAAAGTCAACCTATCATATATTTAAAAATGTGATTTAATAGAAAAGCTAAATTAACCCTATTGAGGGATTTCCTAGAAAGAGAGGAGATGGCATATGGGTGTTATATCTTCGAGTTGCTAGTCAGCAAATGTCTATTAAGACAGTTGGCCTTCATACGTTTGCTATATATTGACAACATCCCTTTCTGTGGGGTGCTCACTGTTGTGTTATGTGTACTGGTTGCTGTGCATGCTTGGCTGTCTTCCTGTGAATAAAGGATTTCATTTAAGCAGCCAGTGTAACTAGACTGTGAACCCTAGATTCAAGGTAGAGCTATGGAGCAATGCTGGGCCAGCAAATGTTACACTGTTCACTGTTATTCCAGAGTACAAAACAAGGAATAATGATCCTACATTACAGGAAGTTAGATTCCAGTTGAATATTAGGGGAAAATCCCCACCAGTTAAAGCAGTTTGACAGTAGAACCAATTACTTGGAGAAATGGTGGGATTCCCTTCCCACAGTATCAAGCAGAGTCTAGAGAGCCATCTGTAAGATTTCTGCCCTATTCAGGGGGTTGGATGGCCTAGATCAGCCTTTCTCAATCTTGGCCACTTTTAAGGTTCAACTCCCAGAATTCCCCAGCCAGCCATGTTGGAAAAGTTTTGGATTTACCCTACCATTGTAGCTTCTCTTGGGGTGATTGGTGTTTCTTGAGATATCTTGACTGTAGGTTCTTCTGTTGTGGACCATCAATGTAAAGCTTACAACATCTTTTGGGAAAGTGAGGTTGGTTAATCATACAATATCAACTATTCCCATCTGAGTAGGAGTCCCATGCCTGGGTTTTAAAAATCTAGATGAGCTCTAAATGGCAGCAAAGTTGACACCACTTTCCTGAGCAGACAATCTCTTTATGTATCAAGTTCAGCTTTTGTGTCTAGCAGGCTCCAGCAGAAACTCCAATGAAGTTCCCTCATCCTCCATTTAGACCGCTGGAGGCTTCTTGCAGGAGATTATAGAGTCAGTGGATTGTTAGATTTATTCATTGCTTTACAAAAATGGGCCTGCAAATGCTGCTAAGCAAGTATATAATATCAGCATGAAGTGTTCAGTGGATGTTCTTATTCATATATGGGTAGCAAAATATTCATGGTTGTTTTCCCTGCATTTGGCTAAAAGTAATGATTGAAGGAGGATTGGTGGAGATGGACTCTACACCCTCATGCTTCTGCACATTTTTTGTCAACTTCATTCAGCTCCTTTCCTCAAAAGCTGGCCCGGTTGAAATCACTCCCCCAGCCATCCATAAATCCGTCCACATGTATAAAAAGTTTGGCTGTCACCATAGGCAAAGCCCTAAGAAACAGATGTTGCTGCCATCTTCTGGCCAAGTGGGAAAAGCAGTGTTTCTCAACCTCAGCAACCTTAAGAGGTGTGACCTTCAATGCACATGCTGGCTGGGGGAATTCTGGGAGTCGAAGTCCACACCTCTTAAAGTTGCTGAGGTTCAGACACACTGGTGTAAAGTGTTTGTTGTTTTAGATCGTAGACTGGAAAGGAACCCTTGAGGACATCAAGCCCAACTCCCTGCTCAGGGCCAGTATCAAAATATCACAGGGAGACGACTGTCTAGTCTTTGCTGGGCTAGGTCCAATAAAGGGTAGCCCATCACTCCTCTGCATAATTGGTCTCATCATTGACTGAGGATAGGCAATGCAAATGGCACCAAACTTCTCTTGATTCCTTCCTTGGTGCCCATCAGCGTCCTTGCTTTCGCCTGGATCTATTTTTAATATTCCTTTATATTAAAAAAAAGTTCAATAGGAAGCTGACAAGATGCCATCCACCAAGCTTCCATTTACTTATAGAAATGCCTTGGGGCCCAACCCAGATCCTTCAAGGATGATAAACAATATTTGTGGAGTCGAGTGGTTCACTTTCTGGTAAGTGGGCACTTTGTGGCTGGTCACATCTACCATAGCAGCTGTAACGTCCACAGGCACATCTCCAGTCAGTTGTGATTTATTTAACACACCATATAATAGCACAATATGCAAACCCAGTCAGTAGTTTCATTTGTAGGACTTAAGCTGTTTTAATATATGGGACTTGTTAGCTCCATTACCTTAGTTAGGATCCTGTCAAATGTCAAAATTCAGAATACTCAGGAGAAGTAGGGGGGGGAAACCCAACTAATGGAATAAAGCCATTGCAATTAATTAAAAAAAAAACAGTGAGAACTAGATTTGTTGGCATGTTGGACAACCTGGATGAATAGAAATTTCTTTGCCTAGTGTTAGATAATCACTGTCAACAATAGATGAGTCTTTCTGGAGAAGACACCTAATCCCATATCCCTTCAAAGATGATCCTTGGGTAAGGTAGGCTAAGAATAATGACTGACCGTAGATCCTTTATTAAACTCTGTGGGTCAGGTTTTGAAATCCACAACTTCCATGCTCTCGTCCAGCCCTCTAACTGCAATTAATCAGCTTGATAGATTATGTATGTATTTATTTATCATATTTATATATTATTGCAAGTTCTCTTGCTTTTGTTAATTTTTCTAGCTGAACAGAACTGCAATTCACAGTCCTTCCACCTTTGTATTTCTGGAAAGTGTGTTTTGTTAAAGATTTCTTCAAACCCAGTTAAGGGCAATTCTCTGCTAGCCCCTTCTTTCCCCAACAACAACCCAACTTAGTAGGCTCGAGAGATTTGCTCAAAAGGAAGTGGAAACGTTTTTTTGTATGGACTTCTGATTATAGGATCCAAACAAATTATTCTCCTTAACTCATTGTCCCCTTATTAGTAATATAATGGATGCATCCGAGCCTCAGTCAGAGTAATAACTGGCAATGTTCTTAGGTCTGTATTAAGACAGTTCCCACGCTTTCAAAGATAATTTGCAACTTGCAGGAACATGTATTAAGCCCTTCTTCTGAGATGATGAAAAGTGATGCATATTTCCCCAGCTGTCTCTGCCTATGGGTGCACACATAACTGGGTTGCTTGCTATTATTCCCATCACATTCTTCCTTATCTTCCAGAAACATTGGGAACCAGCTGTTGGAATTTTCCACCGACATGGCCAGCAAACAACAGACGCTTGTTGGCATCCTTAGATTTAGCGTGTCACAACTACAGTGGTACCTCAGGATACGAACGCCTCTACTAACGAACTTTTCGGGTTACGACCAGCTCCGGCCGCAAAAATTTACC